CCTCTGCTACTATCATGTCCACTTCACCTCCTCTCTCATCTCCTGGACCTCAAGCTGGGTCAGAGCAAGTCTCGCAAGCTGATCTGGAAGCTCCAGCTGCTCAACTCACATCTACATCCAAGTCTCCTTCGCCCGATTCTTCCTCTTCTGTGGTCATCGGTTCCAATGCAGGGAACGCATCCAACAAGGCTCCTCGAGGCCGAGGTAGGGGAGTTCGAGGAAGCAGCAAGGCTCGCCGAAGCTCTAGAAGCTCCGCCAAGCGTACCACTAGCGAGGGCCTGCAGACTCCAGCGATCGGCACCGACCAGCTGCCCGATGAGACGGCTGGGCTGAGGGTGGAAGCGCAGACTGTGCAGGATGAGGTGGACGATGCCCAGGTGGATGGCATCACAAATCTGAAAGCTGAAGCCGCCGACCCAACTTCTGATCCCATGGAGGTAGAAGGAGCATCCCCTAGTAAAGCTGCTACAGTTCCAAGTGAAGCGGCGGCAAGGCTAGATCTGGCTGAGACCGAGCCAGGTGCTAGCGAGGCAGCAGAGGCGGTCGAAGCCGCAACGGATGGTGCCAAAGATAGTTCATCGCGATCCAGCACTCGTCAGAGCGGCAGCGGTAGCCCTCATCCAGCAAGCGCCTCGGACAAACATAGGCAGAGAAGTACCAGCACCTTCAAGGAACTCGCTTCGCTTGGTTTGCACAGCTTCGGAGATGGTGAAGATGGACAACTTCCTCCTCGCAGGTCTCGTCGAGCTGCCAACAGCCCAGACAGGTCCGCGGATGAGGTCAAAGAAGGCAGTGAGCCTGCGCAAGAGAGTAAGGTGGGGGAGACGCAGAGCACTGAACTGCACGAGAGCGCTGAAAGCGTGCTTGTGGACCAGAAGGAAGAGCACCTGCCTCCGGACTGGCAAGGGGAAGAGCTGGAAGGAGGAGAAGGAGAGACTCGATGTGTTTGCGGTAGCCCTGGTGAGTCAGCTTTTCGCAGCGATCTGTGAGCATGCGTCGAGGCTTACGCGTATATCTCTCTCTTGCAGATGAGAATGTCGGGCTGATGATTCAATGCGACTCGTGCAAATGCTGGCAACACTGCATCTGCATGGGCCTGCACACCGAGGACGACTGTCCTGACGTCTACTTCTGCGAGCAATGCCGACCAGAGCTGCACATCACGCTCCTTCGCTCTCTTGGTGTCTTGCCTGTGAACAAGTCGCACAAGAAAGGCGCGAGCAAAGCACTCTCCAAACTCAATTCCAAGGACGCAAAGAGGGAGCTCAAGGAGGCGAAGCAGGCGGTTCTGCTGTTAGCAGCAGATAACGAAAGAAGGCGCAAGGCTGGGGAGGAGGTACTGACAGGCTGGTCAGTAGCGCACAACCCGGCGCTTGCGGCCCTAGCACCAAACAGCGGACGCTTGTCCCCTCCTTCACCAACGCAACCCCCTGGTAGCACCGGAGGAGCTCATCGTCGACAATCGTCAGATGCCCAAGGAACGCGACACGGTCGCAGCCAGAGCCGCGAGGAAGATTTAGCCCATCGACAAGGCCGAGCGAGCCCGAAGCGGCGAAGCACAATGAACAGCAGAGATAGCGCTTACGGATGGGAGCCCATCCCGCCAGGCTTGCTGAATGAGGATGAACAGTGGGACGAACAGGGCAATGACAAGATGGACGAGGACGACCGTAACGGCAACAAGCGCAAGCGTGGGCGCAACGAAGCGTGAGTCTCCGGATCGGGCCATGTCTAGATATTGCATACGTGCTGCGTCCGTTGATGCCTCTGCGAACTGCTGCTGATGATTCTCCTCTCTTCTGATAATCTCAGATCGCCAACACGGTCACCTTCTCCCGCTGACGGACCGGCTGCCGACTACAAGCGCCGGAAGGTCGGCGGCG